TTCAAATATTTTCTCAATTGTGGAATAAACTGGGCAGTCTCGAAATTGTGAAGCCATTTTATTTAAAAAAAATGGAAAGATATCTGATTAAACCTGTTATAACAAGATGCAACTCTTTTTCTAACTCCGTGAAATTAATAGACTTATTAAGGAGGATGGCCAATTTGACGAATTTTGATAAGTTCCAATTACAGAGATTTTCAGTTAATGACATGTTCATAAATATATTGTATGGTTAGTGTTAATTAAAAAATGTTTTATATGTTATGGAACCTGTTGCTACCGCTCTTTATATGTTTAAACATTTGAGATATCACTCGCAAGATTACTATTATTCTACTAAAACTTAAAAAAATTGCTAATAATATCAAGTTTAAACCACTTATTACTGCAATCCTGCATGACACAGATAAAAGGTATACAGTTGAAATATTTACAATTTATATAATTTTTAATAGATTCGAACACATCTATAAAAGAAGAATATATACAATGAGCAATAATTCACCTGCCATTTAAATTAGATTGGCACTGGATAAAATGATAGGTTAAGGAAGGTATAAAGCTTCACTTATTTCCAGTTTGAGAAAATATTTTGACAAAGAAAAAGAAGACTTTGCTTTTAAATAACAATCCACATACCAGATTATTTTCTGATAAATATAAAAAAAATTTTGATGAGGTTCTGAATGAAGATTCTTTTGAAGATGATCTATTAAGCCTTTTTCAAAATGAAGATTATTCTTTGATTTTAAATAAATTCTCCCTAAATATAATACAACCCTCCCATCCCCTGCGCCAGTTGAACATATGTTTAGTAAGGCAAAAGATGTGTTGAGCACTCTCTTGTTTAAAAATTTTGAAAATCAATTGTTAAAAATAAATAAAAAATTATATCTAAGAAAAAAAATTGTTATAAAAAAATCTCATCATATTAATTTTGTATATTATATAGAGGAATTTTTTGTATATAATATTTAATTTCACGAGTAACGCGTTCTTCAGAAAGTAACGAGTAACAGTAATGCGTTTCTTTTTTTGATGTAACGAGTAACGCATTTCTTTTTTGAAGTAATGTTATCTTGGTTAAAATTATATCTTTGTAGATATATTTTCAGACAACTATATATATATATCTAGATATATTTTTAAACGATATGCCTTAAAGATATGCAAAACTAGGCCAGCGACCGATGAAAAATTTAAAAAATTAAAACACAAGGAAACATTTAAAAGTAATATATCAAGCAAATTTAATATCAACGAGTAGCCCAATCCCTAATCTTTAAAATATATAATATTTTGAGCTAGATGAGTTTTTGTGAAAGTTGTCTGCCACAGTCCAAAGGTATGTTTCAACTGGCCATAAGATATTAATCAAAAATTATATTATAAATTAAAAATTACAATCGTCTTTTAATGATAATGTTTTATAAATTATTATCTGAATGTTAAAGATGCTTAAAATCAATCACTCTATATATTACAGATTTTAACAAAACCTCTAAAAAATCCTTTCACATTTTAACCAATTTTGAAAAAGATAAATAAAAAGGTGGTGGCCTGGCTAGTTGGCAAACATAGCCATTAACTTATTCCCTAGATAATTTTTATTCTAACTATTACTATTAATTTTAAACTGACGTCAAATAAAAAACGCCACTTACTATGAATTATTTTTTTAAATTATAGTAATTTCTTAGAATAAAACGTGGAATATATAGTTCCACGGGCAGAATTCCAATATGATAATTCTTTAAAAACAAAAGATTATTTAATTTAATTTAAAATTATATCAAAAACTTTCGTATAAAAATAATAATAATTATACTTTCGCCTTATTTTCCTTTTTACATATTCTCTCTTGAAACAATAATAAACAAAAAACGTTATTAATTTACCAAATAAATAACAGTCTCTAACATCAATCACCATATCTCTCTCTGATATAATCATGATTATAACAAAAATAAATAATAATACTATTGAAAATCCTTTAGACGCATTTTTTTTTAAATCTAAAAGTACCAAATGAATATTTTTGATAATTATTCTTTCTTATATATATAAAATATGCATATTAAATTTAATACTGCATTAGTGCTTGAACGATTATTTAGGCATGGCTTATACTTTCTGATCGTCGCTCTAGACTTGGAGAGTATGGAAATGTTATTATTGGATGCAATAAAAAATAAATAAATTATATATATATTTGAAATTTTAGTCATATTTTTTATTTGTGGAAATAAAGATACGTATAAAATATTTTTAAAAAAATTCGAAAGTAAAAAGAATAGCGCTCTACTTTTTTTGTAAACGGTAGCGATAGCACGCTACTTTGTTGATAAAGTTAGCGGTAGCGATAGCGCGTTAATTTTAAAAGTATTTTAACTAGCTGTCTTATGAAACAAATTTATAGAGATCAAATCATTTATAAAAAACCGGTTTTTTTGTGGCCAAGATATATATCACCCTACTCATATATTTTACCCGGTTTTAATTTTAAAGATAATGAATTTGACAAAATTAGATGTTATAAACTAGGGCTGTGACGATATTAAATATCGGATTCGGTACCGATATTTAGCGTCTTCCGAAAATATCGGATCGGACCGATACTTATAAAAACTGATCCATTATTATAATAATTTCTAAATAATTTTTTTAAATTTTATTTCTTTTTTAAAATAGATTTATAGTATTTTAAAAAAAATTTTTATAAAAATAGAAAGGAACACCCAAAGTTTTATTTATTTTAAATCTTTTTAAATTACGCCAATTTTTTTATTTATACTTTAAAATAAAAGATTTTTTTAAAATATGGTATCTGAATTATGGAAATATTTTACAAAAGACAAAGATAATTTTGCAAAATGCGTTATTTGCAGAATCATCTGAGTTTGCCTTCAGCATGGCAGGAGATATAGATAGTCCAAATCGTAGAAGCTTATTCCCAGAAAATCTAGAGGCTCTCATATTTATTAAAAAAATCTAATATATTATAATTTTATATATACAATTTTATAATTCCAACATAAAATGGATATATTATTAAATATATATTTTTTTATTAAAGTCTTAATTATAGAAATAAAAAAATTAAATTAAATTCATAATTCGATTTTTTGCATAAAAAAATATTGATTTCTTAATTACATTTGGTTCAAACGGGGGTGATTAAAAATCAGTTAAAATTTCGGATCGGTATTGGTATCGGATCGGATCGGTGAAAAATATGTGGATCGGCACAGCCCTATTATAAACCGATTTTCTGGATGCCTAGATTTAGATGTTGCAAGCCAAATGACAAATTGCTCGATTTTAGAGAACTGGAATCGTTTCAAACGAAGATAACAAATTAAATGATTAAATTTATATCATACTATAATGTATTAATAGTATATAATTTTTAATAAAACATCAAAAAAAAATCCATATTGACCAGTAAGTCTTTTTCTAAAGGAAATTTCCCATTGTTTCCCTATTTATTCCAAATTTCTCTCAATTATAGTTTCCCTGGAAATTTACATTGCACATATAAAATATTTGGGCCTGGCTGGATATTATTTAATTTTATAAAATTTTACCCCAGCCATTAACATTTTGATTCATATTATTTAAAAACAAACTACAATATGTGTATTTCTTTATATTTTAAGAGCTATCTAACTAAAATACTAAATCTATAAATAATATGAAAATTAACAAAAAATTAAACATTTTATTCATAATATGATCCATTTATAAAGCGCAATACAGATATCAAACACAATTGGTTATATGTAGAAATAGTTAGTCTAGAGAGGTATAAGCGTCAGTGATACTGGGAAGAAAAAATTAGATATAGATATATAAATGTGACAGCCAAAAATTTTAATGGTTTTCATTAAATTTTAACAGGCATGGTCTGACTTTTTGTATAATTTTTATAAACTAGGATAGGCAAAAAATTTAATAGTCTAGATAGCTTGAGCAAAAATTCTTAATGGAATAAAACAGGCTGGGACATGTTTTGCAGACCTCTACTCTGGATATATTTGAAAAGTATCATTTAACAACTCTGATGAGTATAATTGAAATTTTTTAAAAAAAGGGAAAGAAAGAGTAAAAAAAAATTACATCATATAACCCAGCCTATAGAAAAGGATGCCTTTAAATTTTTTCCATTAAAAATCCTAGATATGCTTATGTTTGAGTTAAAAAAATACCCATTTCTATTATTACATGAAAATTAATTAAATTAGAGGTGAACCAATCTACCTGACATATTATTTAGTCAAAATATTTTAAAAAACAATACCAATTATTAGAGATCTGCAAAGTTAGGCCCGGCCCGAGTCCGGCCTGGCCCAAACAGGTTTCGGGCCTAATTCTATTTAAAATAATCGGGTTCAGGGGCCTAATATTTTTTAAAAAAATTCAGGCCAGGTCAGGCGGACCTTAGAATTTTTTTTAAATATATCTAAATTTTTCAATTTTATATTGAATTTTTTATGTAAAATAAAAATATTTGATTTTATTTATTGAAACTAAACGACATATAACATATGTCTTTTATTTTGAGTAATTATAAAAATTAATTTCTATATTAAAATAAATTCGGGCCAAGCCGGTAAATTTTTTTTTAAATTTCGGGTTTGGGCTGGGCCGGCAAAACTTTTTTTAAAAAAATTTCAGGTCAGGCCAGGCTTGAAAAATTTGGCCCGATGCAGATCACTACCAATTATCAGATCAGGTTAGATGAGTATCTGAAAATATGTGATTGGTGAATAATTTAATAATAATTTGTGGATCAACATAACCCTAAATTAAATATATATTTTAATAAAATACAAATCATATAATTTTATCTTCTATTATATTGTTAAAATAGTTTAATTTATATCTAAAGTTTAGAAGGTATAAAATGATGATGTCAATATTATGTCCATCATCAAATGTGAAAAATATAATAAGAAAATATTATGTGAAAATTAAAAATATATTGCAATATAAACCTTTGTTTTTAATCACGGATTTAACATTAGGAATGTTATTTTTTAATTCAGTGTGTGTTTCATAGGTGCTATTAATATTTGAATCATTGGAGCAAGGAGGAATTGAAGAATTTGAAGATGAGACATAACATATTTTATCACATATCTGATCACAATTCATAATTTCAGAATTACCATTTAATTCTAATGCACTTTGAAAGGAATCAGAAAGGGTTCCATTATAGGCAATATCCATTTTGACCCCATCATCAGCTACATAATTATTAGACAGTTTTACCATTGATAATGGGCGCTTTTTAAAATATCCATTTATTTTAAGTTTGGATTCATCTGCCCCATTTGTCATTTTATTATTATTAATATCATTATTTAAAGAATTTTTAGAAAATGTCATAATTGATATAGGATCTTCTTCGCTCAAGCTTTTTAAATAATTTGGTGATGTATTATTATTAAGCTTTTTATTGAAAGCCAAAGAAAACCTTCTTTTTACTTTCTTGAACCCAATCATAATTAATGTCAAAATACCTCTATAATCTTGATATGTGGTTTAAGATAATTTGTAATAATGTTGAAATTTATATTTAAAATGCAAAACATTTTGATTGTAAACCCAAAAATAAAATATAATGTTGATTAACGATTGACTAAAAACGTATTTACACTTTTACAAAAACTTTAAAATCCATATGATAACATTACAAATTATACGTTTAATGTAAATAATATTTGGATACTTTTAAATCTACAATTTAAATTTATAAATATAAAATACTTTCAGATTTATTTTATATATCAATAGATAAAAGATGGGTATTTTTAAATAATATGTTAATAATATTACTTGTATAGGAACTAGGTTGCTTAATGTTTATGGTAATCAATAATTAAAAATAAATTCGAGATAAACGAATTAAGGTCATAAAATAAATTTTAAGTTTATAAATGCTCATAATAAAAAGGAATAATTAAATTTATTAAATCATATCATATAATAATTGTATTTATACTATATTATTTATTTTTAAAAAAGAATATTAAAAATTGATAATATTAATTATGATATTCTAAAATTATTATATTATTGGCTTTGAATACACTCAGAATTTATATAATATTATAATGTTCATATTAATTTATATGTTATGCTATTATAGTTTTCTATAGTCTTCTATTGGTAATGATGGTAAAATTATAAATTTGTGCGGATATTTTATCCTTAAACTGTGGTATGCCTTATATGGTGGCGATATGTTGCGGTATTTATATATATTTAATTATTAGTTTTACTAAATTATTCATATTATTTATAACATTGAATGACCTTTCGTGATCTATATTTCTACTTTTACTTATTTCATTATATTTTATGGAATAATAACTTCAAATTTAACTAATTATATTCCTTATATAAATACAGAGTCGTAGCCACGGGAATTTTCGTCCCCAAACATGGCCCCCAGAAAAAATTTATGGCCCCCAAAAATGACCCCGATGAATTTTTCCGGCTCCCCAAATTGAAAAAAATATTTTGTAATTGATTATTTTTATATTTTTAAAATAAATTTTAAATATTTATTCAAAGAACATGTCTTGTTTGTAAATTTCTTCCTATTTTTATTTTTATCCAATAATAAATCATCATTCATTCATATTTTATCATTTTCATGTGTGTTTGTGTATAACATTATATAGGCTCTTAGTTAAAATGTTTAAATTGTACTTATTTCAATGATAATTATTTTATTTTTTATGGTTCAATCACAATATTATTATCTATTGAAGATCTCTGATATAGATCTGGGTGCAAATCATAAAAAAAACTGGATTTTCGGAAGCTAATCAAGTGATTACACAAGGCTTGATATATTATATATATATAATCTAAGGAAACAGATTGATACCGATTCGTAAATATTTATTAAAATAAAAAAAGTTTTTTATTAAATTTTTATAAAATTTGGTAATTATTGAGCAGTGTTGCTAAACAGCTCGATTTGGGCCGATTTTTAAAAATTGTTTGATTAAGATCTTAGGCAAAATAATATTATCTAAGCAAGATATAACCACTTATTTAAAACAGCGGTGAATATTTTAGCATTATAACGAAAATAATGAGATAACAACAATTTTGGTAAGCCAACAAATTAACCGTTATCTTTACGATCTTAAATCAAGATTTCTATTTCTTAACACACAGGAGTTACCTTTCCATGGGACTGGTTCAACAAAAATTACGGATGCTGCAAATGTAGAAAACATAATTTATTCTTTCTGGACAATATAGAGTAATGTTTTCACACACCATCCAAAAAGATCCTGAATTAAATAAAATTACGAAATTTATATGCGATTTACATCACCCAGATTCAAAACGGAGTAATATCTATTATGATAGATATGGTGGTTTATTATATTTCAGATAAATATAACAAAAGTGAGATGCCTTGTGATGCCTTTGTCTTAAGGCTGATGTGACAAAAGATGCATCAGGTTGTAAAATCTGTGCATAATTATTTATATTTTTTCTGAAGTCCAAGAAAATTTATTAGGGATTATTAATTTATAGTGTATTTCTGCTGAAAGTATTACTAATTGCATTTTAAAGCAACATAATAAGTTAAATAATAATTCAACGCATAGGAGTAGCCGGGGGGGGGGGCAAAGGAAAATCTCCCCCCTTCAGAAATTTATCACTTTTTGTGAATATCATTTTAAGCTAATAAAAAATATTCCCCTTAGTACCCCCCCCTCTAGGGATAAAATAAAAATTCCTGAAGATTGTTGTATAGCTTCTAATGATATCGAGGATCTTATTGCTTTTGTTTACGATATAGACAAATACAATATGTCTTTTAACCGAACATCATTTGCTCAAAATGCAATCCTGACCCCTAAAAACGTAAATGTCGATTCTATAAATATTAAATAGATTAACAAAATTCCGGGGGATTTAATTACATACATAAGTGCTGATGAAACGATAACCGAGGATGAAGCGACGTTTTATCCCACTGAATTTTTAAACTCTTTAAGTATATCAGGATTACAACCTCACAAATCTTTTACTCAAAGTCGGGGTACCTATAATATTAATGCGTAACTTAGATTCTGTTCTGGTTTGAATAATGAGACTAAATTGATTATAACTTCTTTGCTACCAAATATAAATGTGACGGAATTTGTTTCTGGTAGTTTTCTCAGTACTAAAGTTCTCATTCCTAGAATAAGTTTTATTCCTACAGCCGATTCTGGCTTGCCATTTTCCTTTATACGCCGCCAATTTCCCGTGAGACCTGCTTTTGTCATGACAATTAATAAAGCAGGGATAAACGTTGAACAAAGTTGGCATCTATTTACCTCATCCTGTTTTTTCACATGGACAGCTATATGTGGCTATGTCTCAAGTTTGTTCTCCTCATAAATTAAAGATTATAACCAATGATAAAACAAGAACTGCAACCAATGTGGTATATCATGAGGTTATATCCGATTAATCCCGGTTTATACGAATAAGAATGAACATTACTTAGTATGATATTATTTTATAATTTAAACAATTTTATATTATTTAAGCATCCTTTTGTCGGGCCGCACAATATGCCCTTTTATCCGATGAATATTTTCTCTAACTAACAAAAATTATACAAAGTTCATTTTAAATGTTTAACTAAATTAATATAACAATTTTTAAAAGTATACCATTTTGTCTGATCCACCATTGCTCTATTATCCCTGCTGAACCCTGTTTTTTCACATGGACAGCTATATGTGGCTATGTCTTGAGTTTGTTCTCGTAAATTAAAGATTATAATTAATGATAAAACAAGAACTACAACCAATGTGGTTATATCATGATGTTATATCCGATTAATCCCGGTTTATACGAATAAGAATGAACATTACTTTGTATGATATTCTTTTATAATTTAAACAATTTTATATTATTTAAGCATCCTTTTGTCGGGCCGCACAATATGCCCTTTTATCTCTGATGAATATTTTGTCTAAATGAAAATTATACAAAGTACATTTTTAAAATTTAACTAAATTAATATAACAATTTTTAAGGATCTTTCTTTTTTAAAAGCTTACCATTTTGTCGGATCCACCATTGCTCTATTATCCCTGCTGATTATTTTGTATAACGCACAAAAAATATACATAGTACATTATTTTATTATAAATAATTTTATATATGATTTTATATCTATTCCAAAAAATCTTCGTTTTATTTCAATAATAATGTTTTTTATATTTTTGACTGATTTCTTTATTTGTCTAGGCTAACCCAACCTTTATCCCTCACATTGCTACAAAACTTGATGAATCTATTAAAGATAAGCTAAGAAAATAATGACGAATAAACAAATGCCTTGCTAGTTCTAGAGTTACTGGTAGCCAAAATAATAAAAAACTACGCTTGAAATCAACTCCTCTGGAGGTTTATTTATTTTTTTTATCTTATATCTTATATATATATAATTTGCATATAAGTTTCATTAGTGTTTAATGGCACTTTTATTTAAATAGATAGCATTTTTTTTATATTTAAAATAAAATATAGATAAATAATTTGGGAAATGCAAGACATACATTAAATTTATCCGAAAAGCTACAATAACCCTATATAATAAACAAAAATTTATATTATATATATAATATAATTGATCATATTACCAAAAAATATAAGAGTCGGTTATTTTTATTTTATTTGTCATGATTTTCTAATAAGTGGTTTGCCCAGGCCTTCCCAGTTTCCCTTAATACGGAATTCAAATGTTTTTTTTACATCTTAAACTTATTGGTAAATCATATAATTCCCTTTCATGTGATGATAAATCAATTAAAAATTTAATATCTCCTAGGTGGGAAAAAATTTTCATAATTATATTGGATACGACTGGGCTTGGAACCTCAAAATTTATATTAGCTTGCACCTGACATGGGAATATCTTTAACAAATTATTAAGGGTTGAGCTGGGCTGGATAAACTTTTATAATTATATGCTTCCTAATATTGTGAGGGATCTGGCATGGCATCTATCGTAAAAAAATGAATAAAAATCTCACCCCGTCATTTTTGACGGGCTTTCTACTAGTAATTATTAATAATAGATCCATAAAATTACTAAATAATATAATTTATCAAATATAATTTTTTATAAAGTGGTAATTTAATTTATTTATCTTAATAAAAGTAAAATATAATTATAAAATTATTAAAATTAAATCATAAATTAAATAAAAAAATTAAAGCACAATCAATGATAATACAAACAGTGGAATATTATATGTCTTAGATTTACAGTATATCTAATTTTATCAATTATCATATGACAATCAAGTAATTTTTACCAATATAGCGAATTATATATTTTACAGAAAACTATAAAATATGATAAAGACATCAGAAAATATTTTTAAAGACATTGTGAGATGAATAATGTAAAGATTAATTTTTAATATTATTTATATTTAAAATAAATAGATGGCGTTAAATAATTGAATGCAAATTGTTGCTATATTTATTATAAAGAGCATTGATTAGTAAAATTTGTTAAAATATTAACTGTAATATATTTTCTAACTGTCAAATATGTTTGTAAAAGTGGAATTTTACCTGGTATTTTGTAACTAA